GACAAACAAAAATCAAGCTGTGGCTGGGTGGCATCACATGCCCTTTGCTGTGGAAGGGAGATAGGGAGGGGGCATGTTGCCCAGGGATGTTGTGGACATCCCCTTCCTAGAGGTGGCCAGGTTGGATGGGGCTTGGAGCAACCTGGTCCAGTGGGAGGTGCCCCTGCCCTTGGCATTGGGGTGGGAACTAGATGATCTTTAAGGTCCCTTCCAATGGAAACCAGTCTGGGATACTATGTGAGGGTCCCTGATGGAAACCCCCCCCAGAGCTCTGCAGCCTTTTTCCAGCTCCAGGAGACCCGGGGATGACTCTGCACATGCTTTGGTTTTCTGTCCCCAAAAAGGGGTGTTTAACCACTTCCTAAAGGCTTTAAATCCTACCCAGGTGGACTGATCCAGTCCAGGCACGGCTGGGGCTGGGGCTGTGAAAAATCCCATCGCCTTGTGAACTGGCCCCTTCTCAAAGCCCAAAGCCTCTTTAAACCTCCTGCCTCCAGCAGCCGGGGAGGTCCCCGAGGATCCCCACAGCTGGAGCTTGGGGGGGCCCGGGGACATCCCCCCAGCCTGTCAGGGAGAAGGAGGAGAGCGTCTGGCTCCCAAAAATAGCATCTGACCTTGGGCTGTCAGCTGGCCTGTACCTTGGCACCCCCGCTGCTCAGCTACTGCCGGGACTTGCCTTCACCTCCCGTGAAATATGAATTTCTTGGCTGCAAAGGGAAGAGAAAAGGGCTGGGGTGGGAGGGAGCCAAAAGGAGGGGTTTCCACCCCAAAATGCCCCGTCACGGCCACCAGCAGCCGGGTCCCCGTGGGCGGGTGGCTTTGGATGGATGCGTGGACATAGGGAGCTGTGGGAATGAGGGAACTGAGGCAGGGATGGAGATGGGGGTCCCACCTCCTCATTTCTGTGTCCCCAGCTCCATCCCTGGCCACCACCTCCACCTGATGGGATCCTGCAGACCTGAAGCCTTCCAGGGGCTCATTGTAACCACCATCAGGGTAGGGCCCTGGGAGGCAGGGAAACAGGGGAGCAGGAAAAGGAGAAGGAAGGGGAAACCGAGGACAGGCACAGCCTCAGAGCAGCTGTGGGGCCTGATCCTGCATCAGCCCCCAGTGATGAGCCCAGGGCATTTTTTCCCAAGTTTGGGAAAAGAGGGGTGGATTTTAAGGACTTGCTGTTGCCTCCCTGCCAGCCCCAGGTCCAGCCTGAGGTTACCTCACGTTTGCTGCTCCCCAAGAGCACTGGGGCCACATCCAGACACATCCAACTCTGTTCTGGCACTAACCTATTTCCTGGATAAATAAAGAGAAAAGCAGGAAAGGGGGTCTGGTTCCTGCCCCAGATGGACACAGCTGTGGGAGCATCTCATGTGACACCTCCCTTGCCAGCCCCAGTCCCTGCTTGTCCCCGAGGAGGTTGGCTGGGATGGGTACCAGGGCTGGTCCTGTGCCTGGGCCAAAGAAACAGAGGATCTTCTTGAGAAGGGCTGGGAAGAGACTGGAGAATCCCTTGGGAAGGAATCCAGTGGGAACGAGTTGAGACTTTGATCCCAACAGCTTGAAAATGACCTTGTAAGAGGGTCTGGGAGGGATGCTGAGGGATGTGTGAGTGTGTACCCACACACATGCACGCCTGGATGGGCTGATCTGGCTGTGTCAGCACACAGAGCACCACAAGAAGTTGTTTCCTTCCAGCTAGATTTTC